TGTTGAAATCTCAGGACTCTGCCGATCACGGATGAAGAAAATCCTACCACAGATGCTAAACTTTATTTTATAATTACTGTTTACCAGAAAAGACTCATCCCTGCAGGTCAGTGAGAAAGTGCCTCAAAATGGTTTTATCTCATGGATGTGGCTTTAATGCATCCAACTTTTTTATTTATCTTCTTATATGAGGTGTGTTCAGCAGAAAAGGTCTTGAATAATAAGTCATGTTTTGGTATTCATTTTATGTCTACTGTAAACAGATGAATCAGCTTTTCTACGTCCGCTGTATCAAACCAGTGTAAGGATCATGCTTCTTTAGCTCAATCCAACTATTATTGCAGCCTGCTTTACACAAAGCCCACCTGCACCTGATTTTGGGATGCAATGGCAAACATCATGTAGAACTTAACTAAAGCTTGTTATTTTAATAAATGTGTAATAAGGAATAAGATGTAGAGTACAGACTGGAAAATTATCAAAAGGAGGATTAAAAGTCCAATGTTTCAGGTATTTGTTAGAAAATGGAGGAAAAGCCAAACTGCGCTTCCAGCTGACATTTTGAAGAGCAGGTAGAACCAGACCTGGTATCCTTTGGTTCAGTCTCCTTGTTTGGTCAGACAGTGAGTGCCACAGCCCTCGGCAGCAGACCAGCATCTGAAACCCATCCACCCCCTCCCGCTCCTGGTAATCAAAAGCAGCCCCTGTTCATTAGCTTAATTACCTAATTAACAGAAAGCTAATTACACACAAAGGTGGAGAGGCTGTTATGTAACGGATGGTGATCCACACTCCATCATGTCGGGGCTCTGATCCACACAGCGCCTCGCCAGCACAAACATTCACAGGCGGCTCCACTGATCCTGTGTTGACATGCAGATTGAGTCACTGAACAATTAGAGAGAAGTTAATCTGATTCTTTCTACATTTGCTACCCCCTTTCACCCCCCATCCCTTTATTTTAATTATTATATATGACACTAGATATAAAAATAATGTTAAACGTCAAAGTTTTTCCATCTATCTTCCTCTCTTTATTTCCGCACAAAGCTAATTGAATTTGAGGCAAAGATTATTATTTAGTGAAATACAAGCCAAACAGGCCCTAAGAATGACCACTTTGAGCAAAGTGAGGGAAACCTACCACCAGGTTGTAGAAAATACTTTCTTTGAGCAACGGTGTAGGAAAAAACATCTGCATATTTTAATAAGAACGTGATTTCTTTAAAGAATGGGCTCTATCTGACTAGTAAAGTCTTTAAAGATGATGACACAGCCTCACTAGACCGTTAGTCATCAGATAAAGAAGCTGATAAACTCCATTAGTCTCCCTTCAACAGATAAAAACAAGTGAAATTGGGTAACTTATCATTTTAAACTTAGCTGCATAAAAATTTTGAACAGTGAATATTGTAACCAGAGAGATATGCAGGTAAACAGAGAAAAAAAAAAAGTCTGCTAAGGTTTTATGGAAGCCTGGATGCAACGTTTAGATTATCTGCTTCGCTGATTCTGGTGTCTCTGGTCTCCTCCGGTTCTCTGGAGTTAGTTCAGCAACACCTGAGTTACTTAAACCTGTGTGATCAACGAAGCATGACTGTGGTCTTTAGATACTGGATGAAAGTCAGCAGATGACATGCCACCCAAACCATCACTGGCTGTGGACGCTTCCCACCACAGTTCAACAGCATTGATTCGGTGTCAATTTGTCTGTGTGAGGTGTTTCTTGATGCTCTGCCCCCAGCCTGAGCCCCTCCTTCTGAAGCTCCCCCTCGTTCCTCAGTGGTCTAGTTATCCATGTTTTTGGTTCACTTCTTCCTGCCAAACGTTTTCCTACCTCTTAGATTTCTACCACTAACGCCCCCTCTCTGAAAAGCCAGCCTGTATCCCGGTGTCTTTTCATGGCTTCTTCTGGACATATGTCCACTCAGCAGTCTGATGGTGCAGCCTCATGACCCAGACTGAGAGACCATTTAAAGCTCAGTAAACCTTTGCAGGTGTCTTTTAACAGGTAATAAACAGAAAAGGGTAAAACATTATGAAATTTAAACCTTTTACTTTTGTTACAATATTCTTCAAATGTGGCGTTTCACACCAATTCAGACAAAGAACTCTGTAGATATGTTGGATAACCATGCATTTTTATAAAAAATATTTTATTAAACCCTTTATTTTATTATTAAAATTTGATTCATTTCTTGTAATCGTCCCTTTGGTTTATCTAGATGTGTTTTAAAGTAACAATAGCTGAGTGCATAAATCTTAAACTTAACCTTCTGCCTCTGTTAGTTTCAACCAGAGTTACTGCAGTAGAGACGAAGGCTGTTTGAAAGAGGAAACCGGGCAAAAGGCTTTGCTGAGATTTCTTTTGCAGATGCAGACGCGACTTGAAGTTGCTGAGTGATGCATTAAAATGAACTGTGCAAAAAGCTTTTTTTTTTTATAAGTTTGGTGTCAGTCTTGCTTTCCGTACAATAACATAAAGCAGGAACACATGCTGTGCTAAAGTATGCATACTCTCTGAACCTACTTTACTTTACCTCAGAGATTTTTAATGTAATGTTTTTTACAAAGCAATATATAAACAATAAGAGGGATGGCATTAGAAGTGTTCAACAAATGAAAGTTGGTAAAGTGAGGGTGATGGTTATTGTTGTCCTCATGAGGCTTTGACCCGCTGCAACAGATGCCTTCACCTGAGCTCTGTATCTCTGCTATTCCTTCAGAGTAACCAAGCACCTCTTGACTTCTTCTCTGATTAACACACTCATTTTAAGGTGGACATCCATATCTGGGTAGGTTTTCTGTTGTGCAGGCTTCTTCTTATTTTCAAATGATGAATTAAGAAGGCTTACAAGATGTTTGAACCATAGGAGGTGGCTTTATGACCTCTCAGACCTTTAAAGAACAACTGAATTTCTGCTAAAAAAATACAATAATAGGCAAACCTGCAATTCCTAATAATTATACTGGAATAATATAGGTTTTATCAGTGATAATAAAACATAAACCAAATAAAGTCTCTAAGATAAATTCTATTGTGAGGATTATTAATGTTACTGTAAACAGCAACACAACAAATCTAAAAGTGAAATGCTTTCCAATTAGAAAGAATGGTCAAAAGGTGGCGCTATTTACCAAGGAACAGCAGCTCAACTTCCAAGCCTTTCTTAGATGGAGCAACAGCTACAGCCATTCAGTGAGATCAGCAATCCCCTCTCAACCCTGGATAAGTTCATAAAAAATAAAATAAGAGTTACCATTGGACTAAAGACAACAGTTAAACTGTTTTTTTCCCTAGGAGAAACTGGAAACAAATGTTTGAGAGAGGTATGAAAAAAAAAAAACAATTTTTTTGACAAAGTGTGCAGAACATTTTATCGCAACATTCAGTCCAAATAGAGACCTTATTAATCTTCTCTGCTGACATTTAGGCACAGGGAAAATCAGGCCCACGCATCTGAGATTGTAGCTACATTGTACTAAGAGAAGCTTCACTCTCCTTATCTCAACTGTCCTTTTCTAAAACGTATCAGATCTCATTCAACATTCAAACTGGAGTATATGAATGTTTGCTTTCTTTCCAGTTTCAGGCCATTACTTTTGAAGAGTTACACTGTAAACACTAACTTTGAAATACATTAAATAATAGCCACTATTACAATTTAAATTTATATCAGCATTTAAATGTTAAGTTGAATAAATGATGTTTTTTTGTTTTGTTTTAGATCCTACTTAAATATTTTATTAGCATTTAGTTCATTCAACCTTTATTGCTGTATGTTGTGTGTAGTTTACCATTATGGAAAACATGTTTGCATGAGCTGTTTATAAATCTATATATATATATGCATAAGAATATATCAATAATTACCATAAAACTTGTTTTTTATGAGATATCTATCTATCTATCTATCTATCATTATGATAATATTATATTGCATATGTAATGTATTATATAACATATATTTATTTATTTGTTTTTATTTTTTCCACTATAAAAGACAATGCTGCTAGCTGAAAGGTATTAACTAGATAAAGTGAATGTGTTACTATAGACATGCAGTCTTGGCTTTCTTGGCAAACACAGTAGAACAGCCTCATTAGTAAATTTACGTTCATCTGAATACATTTATTTTTTTTTTAAATGTCACACTGACACTGATTGCCTGTCTGGCTGTGTGTTTACTGGACAGTTTCTTTTTGTATCTCCGCTTCCGTCTCCTTGAACCCAACACGGAGCCTGGTTCTGCTGAAGGTTCCTTCCTGTTAAAAGGGAGTTTTTCCTCTCCACTGTCGCTACAAGCATGCTTAGTTTGAGGGATTGCATTGCAGTCAATGAGTCAAAGCAATCAACTGGTTTTCCTTAGATAGAAAACTGTGAATCAATTTGACTGTATGATCTGGTGAACTGTAAAGTGCCTTGAGATGATAAACTGAATGGAAATGGATTAAAACTTACTAGTTTTTATTTGTATAGTTTGTTTTTCTTGGTGTATGATGAGAATTAAAAAGGCTACTTCTCAAAAGTAGTTCCTTCTGCTTCCTCACTTTTAATTAGTCGTCATGTTTCAAGTCCAGTCCCCCCCCCTTCATCTGCTGTCACAGTTGCAGCTGAAATGAATGCACATCCTGCACCCAGCCATGGACAGCAGTGATCCTGAATTAAACCTAATCCTGTGAAGGGTCTGCTTTACCCAGCAGGTGGATATATGACGTCACGGACTTGGAAAATCAACATAAAAACATCAAAAATGCGCTTTTTCTTCCTTTTTTTTTTTTTAACCCATTTTAATTGTTCTCCCTTCCTCTCTCTCTAGTTGCTAAGATCTTATTATTACTAAAAGCCTGGAGCCCTAGCTTTTCTTTTTTCCCCTCCTGTGCGAGCCACACTGGAGAGTCGGCGACAGAGAAACTCCACGTTTTGCCATATTTCGGCGGTCTTGGTAAGGCTGCCACATCTTCCTCCTCCTCCTCACCTTCTGCCGGTACCCAAAGCTGAGGCGGAGTGGAGTGATATTTGTTGCTGTTTACTGTGAGATTCGTTCTCGCACGCGTTCGCGGTCCGCGGGCTCGCGTGCACAGGTTCGTTATCTCCTGCAATCCCCCCCTCCCTCTGTTCCCCTCCCCTCTTCTTTAACCCTCAGCGTGCGCTGCTCGTTGGTCGCCGTAAAGCGTTTTTTCCTCCCGGTAAGTTTCACAGCTCTCATCATTGTTAACGCTAGCTTTGTTGTTTCGCCTTTAGATACCTGCTGCCGCTCGAACCGAGGCTATAACTCGCTGCATTTATTAAAACAAGACGAAAATAAAACTCCCAGTCACCGCTTGTTATAACTTTGCTGGTAGCGCAGTTTGTTGTCGCTTGGTGTCTTTTCTTTTTCTGAAAGTTAACTGAAGTTGAAGCGACTTCAAGGGGGGTGCACCTGGATGAAGTCCCTAATTATTACAACTTTTCATGCGAGGAATAAGAATACGACTTTTTTTTCACTGTGAATGTTTGACTTTATTCGGTTCTAAACGAAAAGTTTACTGTGATTTATTTTTATTTTTTGGCAGGGAATGTGTTTTTCCCCACATGTTGGCAGCACACCGGACATAACAAAAACAACAAACTAAACACATTTACTGCACTTTATACACTTCTTTATGATCAGCATAACTTTATTTTAGCTGTCCATCACCTGCGCACTTAAAACATGGTTTTGTGATGCGCGTCTATTAGAAGGTTTAGCTACGCAGCGCTCTCTAAAAGCGGATACTCGCTTCACTTTTTATTACCTCAAAGTTTTTATAAAAACGCAATACAGTTTTAAATGAAAATGTCCAGTGATTAAACATTGACCAAATAAGCTGGTGTAGGTTGATTTCAATATAAGTAGAAGACATGTTAATTTAACAGCCTATTAATAATTTGCATCCAGTTTTAATGTGCTTAATCAAATAAGTGAATACAAGTCTAACTAAATATTGAAATAGTTTTAACCTGATACATACTCTCACCATTAAAAAAAAAAAAAAAAAAAAAAAAAAAGAGTTGTTTTGTGATCAGAGTTAAAAGTTTTTTTAATCTAGTCAGTGTTTGATTGCTATAATAGCAAACTTTAATTTTTGCTGATGCTGCGTTCACACTGGACGCAGCAGGCACGACAGAAGCAACGAGTTTACATGCAAAGTCAATGGTTGACGCGCGTATAGACGCAGCAAAAGGTCCCGCGGTGCGTTTTGAGCAGCAGGCGCAGCGCGTCTGAGCAGCTGAAGCAGCGTTGGGAGCGTTTAAGCATCTTGCGTGGCGCGCCGCAAACGCGCTGCTGCTCGAGATGGAAAAATGTAACTTTTGCTGCTCGACGCACCGCGTCAACCAATCAGAGAAGCTGATCTGGGAGCTGGCAGGGAGGGAGACACAGCACTGATGATACAGAGCGCTATGATCACTCCTCTGAAACAGTTTATTGACGCATAAATTAACTTAAAATGCAGAAATCTGTCGGCAGAATATTTTCGCTTTTATTATTCTGGTGCCTGCAGATCGGATTATTTAGATGAAAAACACCTACCAGCCGCCGCGGTGAACTGCGAGTAGGCGACCCGGCCAGAGGCTGCTGTTGAAGGGATCCCTACTGTCTGCGCACCATGTGGGGGTCTGAGCGGCTCCGACAGAAATAACATTGGAAGGCAGGATTGTAATCTGGATGAACTGACTGCACTGATGAAGTTTTCAGGTGTACTTTCTCACTTAAAAACATATTAACTTTATTCCCACTGATCACAGCAAATATAGCTGCAAGGCAGAGAAAGGATAGTGAGCTCCGCCCAACGCGCGTCAGACCCACTTTTGTACAGCGCAGGCAGAGCAGCAAAGCTGCTTCAGCCGCGCTGGTACAAGCAGCAAAAATGAAGCAGCAGACACGATTTTGCTGCTCTTGCTGCGTCCGGTGTGAACGTAGCATAAGACATTTTAAACAGTTTTTTTTAATTCCCAAATTTAATACATTAATTATTGCCCTAAATAAATTTTTTCTTTGGATAATGAATGGATAATAGATGCAATAAATGCTATTTTTGAGGTTTATTTTTTTTAATATAGTCATTTCTTTTCAAAATTAACAAATGTATTTATATAAGTAATCTGATTATATTATGAGTGTTTAATTAAAGAAGTTGGTTTAGTCATCACTACTCTCACTCTTCATGTTAAGGTGATTGGAGGGGCAGATATGTTAATATGGGCTGTGTTAGTCACTTAGAAAACAAACTTAGAACTGCTAACAGACCTGTGATTGAGAGAGTTTCTGTCTTGGAATGAGAAATCTAGGTCCCCCCAGATTTAATGAATAATCAGTGAAAGGTTCAGCTTGTCAACCAGATGAGCTAGGTGTGGGATAATACTAAAATGTTACCTGATTAGGATAGATTAAAAAATATTTTGCATAAAAAATATACATTTTGGACTTTTATACCTGAATTTTATTGCTATTCTTATTTTTCGTTTAAGCATGAGGAACAAGCCAGATTAACTAAATATCTCACGTGAACTAATTTAGTATTTAAGTCCCTTTAAAACTCTCAGATGTTTAAGTTATTTAGGTGTCTTCAATTTTGTAAATGTACATTCAGAAGTAGATATTTCACATATCCAAACACACAAACCTTAAAATTTGTAACTATAATTGAACATTACAACTACAAACAGATCTGTCTGATTATCTTTTAGATGGTCTTAATTATGGCTTATTTTTCACCAACTTTACTTTTTATAGTCTAATGTTTAAAACGCAGCATCGAAACTACAATATTTTGTTTGTTTACTTTTCACAATGTTGTTAAAAGTTTCACCTAGAATTATAATTCACCAAATTACAGTGGGAACTCCTTATTCTGAGTATATATAAATATGCAGCGACCATGCACCGCTATTGTTCAGAGTAATGTGATGCTTTTATATTTTTCTCACAGTAAAAAAAAACATATTTTAATAAACCTGTTATTCATCAAATCATCTTTTTTATCTTGTTTATGCCACCGTCTAATTTAGACTGATATTGATCTAATTCAAATATATCTTATTTTGTATTACAGTATTCTGTGTTTTGCCACAGAAATTGTTATTCAATTCTTTAAATTTAAATAAAACAAAATGGGGCGCCGTATTTTATGAACGTCTCATATGCGAGAATGAAACGGCCGCTCCACTGTTTCATACAGTAAATGTGAACCACTGGAAATTTTGCAAAAGAGAAACTGCAGCTTTAACAACTTTTTGCTGGCGGTGCTCCCTCCTTCTTGGTTCTTTGGATTAGTCATTGTCTGAAGGGGAGGAAAAAAAAAAAAAGACACTTTTTTTTTCGTAGGAGAAGTAAAGTAAACAGCCTCCAACAAGCGAACCTTGACAACCCAGATTAAGGAAAACATTGGAGATCAAACAGTGCTGCTGCTGGGCTGTTGTCATGAGCTGCATGAGGGAGCGGGAGAGAGAGGGAGACTATTTGAACAGGCGCTGGGGTTTGTGTGCTCACTTATGCAGAAATGGACCTTCACAAATGCTGACCCAGGTTTAAGGGTGCAAGATGAGCTTTCTTCTCCAGTTTTTCACGGCCTGCATACTGACGTTGCTGGTACATACTTGCTTACAGTCTTTCCTGTGTCAGCCGTAGATGACAAAGTTTTGGCCGTGGAGTTTCTTATGCTTTCTTTGCTCTGGGAATACATATAAACTGAATTCACTGAGGTGTGGGTAAAAAACAAAACAAACTTATCTTGAACTTTGAGGAAGCACACTATTATGACACAAGAGCTGTGATTTCTGTGTTATTTGGAAAGCCCTTATGTCTAGTTTGGCCTCTTCAGGCTTCTCAGGCTAAGACTCTCCTTTGTACAGAGCTCAGGTTGAGCAGCTAAGAAAGTAATCAGTCACTCATGCATTCAGTGAGTGGACTCCCATCCCTGAGAGCAGCAGCTCTCCCTTTCATCTGACTGCTCAGTATTTGTGAACACACATTGAAATACCCTGTGCTGGGTACCGAGGGGCTGTAAACTGCCTGAGCACCCCTGCCTGCAGATAAAAGGAGTTATTTTGGGCCCAGTGTGGGAATAGGGTGCTTCATTTGCTCAATTGTTTCTCTAAGATTCATTTCATTCATTCTTCATGTGACTTTAGATACCAACTGCTTATAATGTTGTCAGAGATCAGGACAAGTGAAAGAAAAAAATTAAGCTTTCTCCTAGCTCAATTTGTGTTGTGATTTTATTTTATAAATTTTTTTTGTAAGTTCAATTCAAAGGAAACACAAAGGGCGGGGGGGGGGTGTCACTGTATTATATAGATGCAGCAAACTTATTTTTATTGATCGTTTACATAAATAAAGGAGATGAGGAAGGAAAGCAGAGCCATATTTTCACTGTCTGGGGCTCGGCGGCGAACACTGACAGGCGCTTCTCCCGGACGGAGAAGCCGATTGTTCAGAGTGTGGACAGCTTCGGGTGAGCTGTGAGGATGTCAGGATGGACATTAGCTCAAGCTGCCCTTAATTATCGTTCTCTAACGTCATCTGTCCTTAATAAAAGCAAGGATTCAGCCAAGAAGTGTCACAGCAAGAGAGGAAGAGAGTAATTAGTCTGAACCTGAGTGAGAAAAAGAGTTTGCTCCAGCTGCTGATTTTCATCCCACTAAAACACGATGCCCTGAAATATGAAGGGAAACATTTTACCTGCTTGAGCGTTCATCCACTTTTTCTCTGCTTAATGTAGTCTTTCTATCAGAGTATTTCAAACAGCATCACTAGTATGACGGTTCATGTTATCTGAATAGAAATTGAATGAAGGAATTGTTTTTTTTTTTTAGTTTTTCTTTTTTTTTTTTTTTTTACAAATGGAGCATTTGTTTGTTAATAATTCAAAATTACCCAATTTTCTGTAATTTTATGACACTTCAACCAGCGGCATGTAAAAAAAATCTTATAATTCCTCCATTTTATCTTTTTTGTTGGAATTATAGAAAACGTGCACCTTCTCTGTGTTATAACTGGCTAACCATAACCTGAGCTCCGGTTATCATGAATAATCATTCAGGAATGAAATCCTGAATGATTATTGGCCAAATTCAGCATTTGAATTGAGAAAACTTCCTGGAGAGGTAGCGAAACGTCTTCAAATCTTGGAAACCAAGTCCAGTGGATTGTTTTGAACTTTTACGCAATGACTATGACCTGGATGACTGAGAATCTTCATCAGCAAATTCAGTGTTCTTGCCTCTAAAAGTCAGAGTTAGGCTTGGATAAATTAAGAGAACAACTGAACAGCAGAAGTGGGTAGTAACTAGTTACATTTAAACTATAGTAGAGTAGTTCACTCTTCACCTTTAATTAAGCAACTTGATCTATGTGGATATGAGGTGGAAGGGCAGTAAATACCATAGCTGGGAGTTCTTTATTTTCTTTTTTTCTGGACATGTATCCATAACCTGAAGTTAGGATTGATTTATAAAGTTTATGTTGGAGAAAATGTATTTAAAAGTTTTTTTATGTGTACATTTATTTTGTAATCATGATATTTATTTGTATTTTTTTTTAAACTTTATTACTTTAAAATTACAGAATTTGCACATCATTCTGACTGATTAGATGACTTTAAATGTTAAATCAGGCCTTATGAACCGACATATTAGAACTCCATTTTTTTTTTTTGGGTACACTACCCATTTCTACTGAAATCACCCTCAAGGCTTTATTTAGCGCCCTTCCATCCTCTACTGCAGAGGTCTTCAACAGGGGGTCCGTGACCCCTAGGGGGTGCACGGAGGTACTGCATGGAAATGTCTTTAAATAAACATTAAAATGAATTCAACACACTGTAGTAAACAGATAAATGGAGGCAGGAGATGTCTTCCAGTCATCAATGCACACATTCAGAGACACACAGGAGCTCTTTCAAGCTGGGCACCGTTTCATTCACAACACCTGTCCCATCAACCAGTAATCTGAATCCCAATCAGAAATACTTTAATAATCCCAGGGAGAAATTACTTTCGTTACATGACATCTGTAATAGTGACTATAGGACCAGTTTGTTATAACACAGTTTCATACAATATATATAATTAGGGGTCCCCCCTCTATCTTGCCATTAGTTTGGGGGTCCTTAGCCTAGAAAATTTTGAAGACCCCTGTTCTACATCTTGTCTTTCAGGATCCTGGTACTGATCTCTAAAAAGGACAGCCATATTATTGGAGGAGCCCAGAGTACATGGAGAGAATCCATACATACACAGGGAGAGCATGCAAACTCCCCAAACCTAAAAGCATCGATAATAATTTAGTGGAACGCATTCTAAAAACTATAGACGATATAATCATGAACTAACTGAAGCAGATCTCGAAGCTACGCTTATATTTGCTGTGAAATACTTTAAAGCTTCGTCAGCAACATCCCAAATTTTAGTTTGAAGAGCCAGCTTTCTGTGAAGCAGCTCAGCTTTCTGTTTATAGAAGAATAAAGTTAGACCTCCACACTTTTTCTCCAAGACACTCGGGAACGAGACATATGCTCCAAGCTGTGCTCAGCTGCCAGCCCAAACCTCAGCACCTGTTTCCATCAGCTGGCCAGTCTGAGTGTGAAGTGGCCGATGAGACGCAGTTATTTTTATTAGGGGTTTTCCTTCCCCTAAGTGTGTTTTATTAATGTCAAAACCAAAGTGCTTTTAGTTTTTCTTTTTTTCTCCAGGACTCTCACATGTTGATATTTTCCCCCCTCATTTTTAGGTAGGACATCATGGAAAGGAAGTGGTGCTGAAGGCGATCCAAAACCTGAAGTGAAAGTTGTTAACATCAGAACTGTGAGTGATTTCCAAGAGCTTCTGATCGTTCATCCTGCCTGTTGTGTGATTAGAGAGGGCTCCCTCTTTTTGTTCAGTTTTTCAGGTTTTAATTCTTTCTCTTGCCACTTTAGAAGGACAAAGTCGTTTGATAGCACTGAGGTGAACAGATTGCAGTTTTCCAGCACTGAAATCCTGGTCTAAACTTGTACTGCTGATCTCTGTTTCTTTCCGAAGAGCTAAAAATATATATATTTTTCTCACCTTACTGCTTGAAGTAGAAAATCCTCTGCTTGTTGTGAAATAATCTACTTAAAAAAAGAAGCCTTTACTTTGAAAAATAACTAACAGCAACCATGTCTGCAGTAACATTTAAGCAGAAATGAAGTCACATTTCTGTGATGTATTTGCTGTTAAACCATCTTAACCTTTACACGTAGAGCTTGGTAATTAAGATTCATTCAGATTTTATTTATGTATTTCATGCATAGTTGTCATAACTGCACAAAAGCCAGCAGAGTGCAGCCAAGTAGGATTCTGGTACTACTTGTACTCTCATGTCTTTTAGAAACACCTCACGGATAAAAACTAATGACTAAAATTTTTCATTTTTTTTGAAAAAAGGTTGAATAAACTGGGAAAAACGATCTAGAAAAAAGTTAAAACGTCTTTAAGTGCATTTACTCTTAATCTGAGAAGGTAAATGAGATAGAGTATTTTTGCTCTTAAAATAAGATATTTGGATAAATTGCACTTGAAATAAGACAATACAATTGTGTTTTCTTATTTTAAATGTAAATTGTCTATTTTACCTTCTTAATTCAAGAACAAATGCACTCATTTTAAAAGAAAATACGTATCTAGCTTTTTATTTTTTTCCAGTGGGATGTTAACTGTTGCATTTATAGACTAAAAAAATAGTGGAATTAATTTTTTTTTAAGATGCGTTTATGGAATAGAAAAACAGCACTTACCTTAATTACTTACCCTGCTGACCATCAGTCAGAGCCGATCCAGGGGAAATTTCTCATGCCAATCTTTGGTGGATTATTGGAGAACAAGGTTTATTTAAACTTCAAACAAGCGTTTTAAAATCTCAGATCTCCTGGTCACGTCCTCAGTTGTATCAAAGCTGTATTTCAGTTACTGAGAATGGATTATTGCTGCAGTGAAGTTTCTGAACTGCATGTATTTGGTTAAAAAAAGGTGGATTTACATGACTATTGTATCGTGTTTAGAAGAGGATAAACCCTTTTTGAACTGAGCTTAAACAGTTTGACAGGGAGTGAGTCTGGGCGAGGGCGAAAATTATTAGTGCTAAGGAAAGTGTAATGCTGCTTTACTAACACATGTCAGAGTCAGATTTGGTGTGAACAAAGAAAAGCATTTTTAAAATTTTCCTTTGTCTCTTTTTTGCTGCTTTATTTTTTAACCTAAGCTTATGATGCACTGTCCATAGATGAAGACTGTGGTCTAAAAAGAGGCCCAAGTACTAGATACTGTATTCAGATATCCAAGTTTGAAGTAATTAAATAGATTTTTTTGATGTTCTCATAACAAGTTGTGTGGTTTTGATATATTTGCGCTTCCACAGTCAGAAATCACGTCAGTCGAAGCAGTGTGGTTAGATCTGTGAAACATTTTCTTTGTCTGTTTAGGGCCCTTTTTGCTGCCACTTTGTTCTTCCTCTCGTCTGCTGTGGTGGCTTCTTGTGCTATCTCACAGGTTCTTCTGTTCACGCTACAAAAAGCAGACTTCAATTATATCAAAGTGTTCAGATCTTAAAAGCTGCTCAGAGCTGGATGTCAGGCACTTGAAAATGTGAGCCTCTGTGGCCTGGCTGAAAGATGAAATCATTACTTTGCTTTATCTGAGTAATGGGATAACGAGAAGAGCAAAACTGACATTTACTAATATGAACTATCACTTAAACCCTGATAAACGTAGTAGGCAGGGTAATGTAAATGAAAGTTGCAGCAGACACTTTTAGGGCCTTCATACTTGACTTCTTTGCTGTTTTTCTTTTTTTTTTGTGGGAGGGGGGAGCTGGCAGTCCCAGCCTAATAAGAAACACAACATGGCAGGACCTGCTCTTCCATCATTGTTGCTAGCTGCAAACTTGGGGCGCTTTGATCATGTCTTTTGGGCGCATCACTCCGGCTTAGCTCGCTGCTCGCTATGTGATAAGCCATCAGAGTACTCAGATCTCAGCCGGCAGCTCCTCGGGGTTGAGGAGAGACAGGAGTGTGTAATGGAGACGAGAAGAGAACAGCAATGCAGATTTTGTTGACAGACTCTTACTGTGCCTGCTTTCTTTTTTGCCTTTGAATTCAACAATCTTGCTGTCCATCTTCACTCATCTGCGAAAGGAAAAAAAAAACTTTCTCAGCAAAGCACTCTCTTTTACATGTTGACCTGTTTGCAGTTCTAATGCTATTAATTAGCAGCACATTACCTGACTCAAAACGCAAACAGTTTCATTAGAAATAAGCTTCTTTCAGTCAATAGTTTTTGTAACTTTCTGACCAGCCAATGCCAAAATATAATTTTATTGTGTATTTTTCTTAAGATGACTCAAACAGAAGCAGGGTTTTCCATAAGTTAAGGATTTACTTGAGGTTTCCATGCCAGCTGAAAGCCTGGATATAGACCCACCCCCAACTGTCATATTTCATAGATCAGCCAATCTAATCATAGCCTGTTTAACTCTGATATTATTTTATTTTAATTATATTGGAAATATATGACTAAATTAAGTTTTATATGATCAATAAATGTAGTCATTCATTTGGGGAATCTAACAGAATTTATCTAAATGTACATGAAAAACACCTCTCTGGCTTCCTCTACTAAAGCTCTTAATGAAAGTCGGCTTGCAAATCCTAATTATTATGACTGTCTTGATTCCTAAAGTGAGAGATAAAATTAATTAATGTCTTTATCACATGATTATGAAGTAAAAATGCATTTAATAATTACCAATTAAAAAAATCCCTATTTAATTCTTCATTCATTTAGTATTAAGATTTTTATTTTAGTTTTATTGATTTGATCTTGCATTATAGAGCATAGAACAGCAAATATGCCATCTTCAGCCCAACCAATGTTACACACCCTATTCAGAGACCTTAAGGACCAAATAGCCTATATAATCATTCTATGACCCCTTTAATACATTACAGGAGCAGCTTTTCAGCAGTGCCAAAATCACAGGGCGCCAGCAGCTAGCTACTTTATTGATAGGATACCTTATAGATTAAACATTCAGTCCTACAAGTTCTACAGCTCTGCAGTTGTACAGTAGGTGCATGAAGTAAGCCGGATTGCTGCTAATGCCAGAGGTGATGCTTCCTGATGCATGACTGTGTAGGACGAGAGAGCAGATAGACTAAATGGGAGAGTAGAATCTGGATTTTATTGTCCTGGGTGGGCCGCCCCCAGTAGTGTTTATGTATAGGAAAACTGCATAAGATGAAGAAATGCTTCATTTCATATGGTTCATAGAAAGGAAATGAATTAGATGTTAATTAAAGACAGTTTTACCAGAATGGGTGGTTTTCTCTCCATCGGTTTTGAACAAAATTTTATTTGTATGAATTAAACCGTGAACAACCATCAACCAACAGCAACACATTTTTTCAGCACAATCTAGTATAGGGAAGGACAGTTTGATGGATGAATTTGAATAGTCTTCTAGTTTATTATTTTCTTTTCTAGTAAAAAGTCCAATCCTAGTACCCTCTAATGGAGCAGTTGTTGTTGTTTTCTGTCCCTCCATCCATTTTCTGTGCAACTTTTATTAAATCTAGAGCTGCACTGATCTGGCTTTTCCTCCTGGGTCCTCAGTTCCCTTTGAATCCTGACCCGCTGAGTCTGATTTTGACCAATTGGGATTAGAGATGTCCCGATCCAGGTTTTTGCACTTCTGATCCGATACCGATATTGTTTTTGGACTTCCGATCCGATACCGATACTGGCCGATACCAGCCTATCTGAGCATGTATTTAAGTTTAAGTTAAAGTATTTAGCCTTAGTTGTAAGACTCATGTTGAAAAGGGTTTTAGTACTCTTGATAACATCTAGCCAGCTAAATTAGGTGAGATTGAATAAAACACAATGATTGGTAACAACAAACTTACCTGTTTATTAAGAGATAAACACAAACTGAACAAAATTATGAATAGCAATCTGAAATTGCACAGTGAGCAGTAAAACCGTAAACAGTTAAAGGTGCAAGTATTACTGTAAGTTTTAATAAAAATGCAAAACAGGGAAACACTGGCGCAAAATAGTGGAATGGATCGTTTCAATCGGCGAAACTGGAAAATACGGACCGGATTTCTTTTTAAAAACTGGATCGGCAGTCTGGATCGGCATTTTACATGCTTTGCCGATACGCATTTTTTTGCCAATATCGGCGTGCCGATCCGATACGTGGATCGGATCGGGACAAGCCTAATTGGGATTATTTTTTTTAATTCTAAGGACTTAAAGTCTTAAGGCAGTAGCTATGATTTTGAGCTGCATGCTATGATGATGATATGTAGTAGAACGTTACTACTAAAAACTGATAAGGATCAATCCACATTTTCCTGACTCTTATTTTCCTGTCCCATTAGACGACATCCAAAACAACCTGTGTAAGCTTCAGCTTCTAAGCCGACATTTGTCCCAAATCCTAATTTGATTTCAGTTCACCGTTTTCTACATTTGAACAAGTGTACAAAACACACCCCTTGATTTCCAAAAATTAATGAAACATAATGTTTGAAAAGGAATTTTATTAAACATACCTTGTCAGCAAAGTGTTATGTTTGGTTTATTATTAAAATTAACAATTGAAGATTGAGTTCCCCCCTAAATTAAAAGCTTTCCTTCCTCTTCTTGCACAATAAGCCTGGTGCAAAATAAGTTAAGGTTTGAAGCAATTTGTTATTAAAAGCGGCACAGACTGATCTACTGATCTAGTTGATTCCAAGTTCCACCTTTGGCCACAACAGTACCAAACCTGTGATGGGATG